CAAATATGGCTGTTAAAACGTAAATTAATTAAAATTAAAATTTAGGGGCGCCTGGCTGGCTCAGTCGGTAGAACACGTGACTCTTGATCTCAGGGTTGGGAGTTCAAGCCCCACGATGGGCATGCACGGAGCCTACTTAAAAAAAAAAAAATTAAAATTCCATTCCTCAGTCTCATTACCTACAATTAAGTGCCCGGTAGCCATGTGTGGCTACTGTATTGGATGGCACAGATTTAGAACCTTTCCACTGTCACAGAAAAACCTGTCGGATAGCAATGCTTTACAGTTTACAGAAACTTTCCTTTCCCTTGTCACTCAAACTCAGCATCTTCAAAGCTTGCACAGAACCCAGAGAACTTAGTCGTTTTCAGTGTGACTGAGAGGCCACCCTCTGGGGAGGAGGGAAGGAGTAGAGACACCCTATACCCAATTGCCCCCCAGACTGTGAGAAAGAGCCTAGCCTTCAGTCTTCCCCCATCTGGTCTCTCGGGTCACAACCAGGTATATGGAAACCCGCCTCCCCCGTTCTGGGCTGTGTTTTGGGCCTCAAGGTTGCTGAGGGCGAAGAGATTTCTTTGTCAGGGACTCGGAACCCCTGAGATCGGGGCTTCCCAAATCAAGCTCGATTCTGAGAGTCCCCTCCTACGCAGCTCTTTGCTGTGGACGTGGGCCGACCTCACCTTGGACATAGTCCTTCCAGGGAGGGGTGCAAAGGGAATGTCAGAAGTCCTGGTCTGGTGGTGGACTGGTCTGGTCTGCCGGCCTGTCCCTGGTTCCCTGTAGTTCTGTCTTCTCATTCTGGGTCCCAGACTCATCCTGGGCTAGAGCTGTATCTCTGGTGGCCGTGGTCGCTGAAGGTGATTTCCTCCTGAGAGCGTTCCACTGCCCTGCCCCGCCCCAGCCGCGCTGGGATTTTCCTCCGGACTTGATTTTCAGTCCTGATAACACTTATGTGTGGGCACGTGAGCTGGCCAACCCCGAGGTGTGTTCCCCGCCAGCACTCATGGGTCCGAGGTGGGCATCGCCAATACCTATGTCCCTTCCCTGAGCCAGATGTTTTTTCCTGGGTCACCACTTGTGTGTGCTTGCCTGACACTGACCCGGAAGGGATGCCTTGGCACCCAGCTGGGAGCCCCTCTCCAACACCTCTCTGGCCGCGCCCTACCATGTGCAGCCTTTATAGGCTGCAGTCTCGTCTCTCAAATGAAGTTATGATTGCGTGGACGACCCCTCCTAGATCTAAGTGACCCAGACTCCTCTACTTCCACAAGAGATGCGGGGGCCCCTGTTGCCCCCCAGACCCCTAGGGTATGTCCCCCTTTATTATTTGCTCTTCGGAGCCATCCTGTTCCAACCCCACGGAGTGTTCGCGTGGGCCTGACCTGGGCTTGAAAGTCACAGGAGTTGATCTCCACAGAAACTACAACTTCCATCAGGCACTACTTCAGCGGAACAGGAAAGGTTGCAGGGGCGTGGCCTCAGCGCCCCGGCAGCTCGGGAGACAAACTACAACCCCCAGCACAGCGCGAGAGCTCAGCAGCGCGGAGCGCGACTGATCTCCGGCAGGAGGCGGGGCCGGGCCGGGCCGGAACTGCCCGGATGGCCTCCAGAAGGGGGCGTGGCCCCAGCTTGGGGGCGTGGCCTCGGGCTCCAGGAAGAAGCTACCTGTTGACTCCTTCTGTCCGCTGCCTGCCCACCCCTTGCAGCTATCCCTAAGAGGGCAGCCGCAGATCACAAGCGGTTTCCGAAAGAGAGGTAAGGGGAGGCGGACCAGGGGCGGCGGCGGCGACTATCAATATCCCGTCGGAGGGCCCAACAGCTACCTTTTACCTGCTGAGTCAGGTGAGCCGTTCCATGGGGGCGGGGACCAGCATTTGAGAAAAGGGCAACGGCGTTGGAGGTATTTATTTGTTCGGTTTCAAGACTAAATTTAGAGCCCTTCAGCTACAGACCCTTTGACGAACTGTGCCTGGGGCACTCCGGCGGCCTCAGGAGGAGAGAAGAACGCGGGCGACTTTTTGGCCGCAGAGGAGCGGCCCGTCTAAGCGTCCTCCCGTCCGTGTTTTCCCTCGCCCCAAACGGCTGAGCCACATGGCTTCGGCGGTCTGGGGGAGTGCGCCCTGGTGGGGCCCGCCGCCCCCAGCCCCAGCCCGGCCGCTCACCGACATCGACTTCTGCTCCGGGGCGCAGCTGCAGGAACTAACGCAGCTGATCCAGGAGCTAGGTGTGCAGGAGAGCTGGAGTGACGCGCCCAAGCCGGGACCCGACCTCCTCCGGGCCAGGGACTTCGTCTTCTCGTTGCTGGGTAAGTCACTTTCCCCGCCTGCGGCCACTAGCAACCTTGAGCCCCGCCCCACCCCGCCCGGGCTTTGGGCCGTGCCCTCCCGAACCCGTCTCTTCCCGTAGGTCTCATTCACCGTCGGGACCCCCGGTTTCCTCCCCAAGCAGAGCTCTTGCTGCTTCGTGGTGGGATTCGCGAGGGCTCCCTGGATCTGGGACCTGCACCCCTAGGTCCTTACATCCGGGGACCTCATTACGACGCCGGCTTTACACTCTTAGTGCCCGTGTTTTCGCTAGACGGCACTGGGCAGGAGCTCCAACTGGATGCGGAGTCCTGTTCCGCGTGGCTGTGCCTCCCAGAGCAGGTCCGCGGAACCTCGATCCGGGAGGCTTGGCGGGATTGCCTAGGACCTCCAGTCCCACGAGGACGTGACTCCATCCGCCGAAGCGAAAGTGAAGGAGGTCCCGAGGGCCCCCAAACATCCATGGACCAGCACGGTTATGTCACTGAACCTGAGCCAAATGTGTCTTTGGAAAAACCCTCTAGTAACGTTTCCAGGCCCAAGCCGCCTGAGCAAGACAGAATCGATCACGGCTTTTCCACCCCACTGAAAAACCTGAATGGTGACCTCAGGAAAGCAGCCGTCCTCAGCCCAGTCCCACCACCGTTGGAGGACTGGGAGGCTTGGCCCACACTTTGCTCCATCCAGGTGGCTACATGGTTCTTTGCTTCACTGGCCGCGGTGGCTGAGTCCCTGTTCCCGGTCCCGGGTGCCCCACGCTTGGTCCACGCCGCCCGCCACGCGGGGTTCACCACCGTCCTCCTGGCCACGCCGGGGCCGCCGCGCCGCGTCCTGCTCTTCGACCTGATTCCCGTGGTGTCTGTGGCCGGCTGGCCCGAGGGTGCTCGGAGCCACTCGTGGGCCGGCCCGCTGACCCCCGAGTCGTCATCCTTCTACTTGGTGCCCGGCGGCCACACCGAGGGGCCGGGCGCCTCCGGCTGGCAGCTCTGCTTCGCCCGCCAGGAGCTGGCGCTCAAGGCGCGCATACCCGCTCCGCTGCTGCAAGCGCACGCGGCGGCCCAGGCGCTGCTGCGCCCGCTGGTGGCCGGGACCCGGGCCGCGGCGCCCTACCTCTTGCGGACGCTGCTCTACTGGGCGTGCGAGCGGCTACCCGCGCTCTATCTCGCGCGGCCCGAGAACGCGGGCGCCTGCTGCCTCGGGCTGCTGGATGAACTGGGCCGCGTACTCGAGGCCGGGACGCTGCCCCACTATTTTCTGAGCGGCCAGAAGCTCCGCGCGGGGGATGGCGCCGCTGCGCTGCTCGGGGCGTTGGCCCGGCTCCGCGGGGACCCAGCCCAGGCCCTGCGCGCCACGGTGGAGGAGGCGAAGGCTGCACGCAAGGGGGGCGGCTTAGCTGGAGTGGGAGGCGGGGCCCATTAAAGACGCTGTTCCTACCCGCGTGGAAAGGTGCTACGGTTGGCCAGGGTGATGTGGCGGGGGCTGCTAGCCCATCGCCGAGGAGACACACTTGAGCGTCCTGGGTCGGAAGAGCACCGCCGAGAAGGCCTCGCGGGTTCCTCCCCATTCTCCTGCCCCGTCCCTGGCACCGGTCGTCCCATTTCTGCCCCCTTTACTCCCCAGATCTGTGGCCAGCACCCCTCCCAGCTCGGCGCATCCTCCGGCCACCATCTTCCTAATTTTTATGGTCTTTTGGGAGTCAGTAGGGAAGGAGTGGGGCTGCATTTTTGCTGACAAAACGCAGCAGGAAGGTGTGGAGACCAGGGACTGACCGGTTTGGCTCGCACAAAATCGGAGAGATTAAGAAGGCAGGCCAGGTTGCCCCCCGGGCTGGATCTCACCACCGCCCCTCCCCTCTGCAGTTAGACCCCACTTCCCTCATTCAGTTCTGCCCTCCCAGGCCGGGCAGTAGGGTCCCTTTTTCCACTCTCCCAGCGTCCGCCATTCCATCCATCTTAAGCTCAACCTCTCCTCCCATCCAAGGTTCTGTTCAGTGCAATCACCTCCTTGTCTCTCCTCCTCTGAACCCCAAGACGTGCGGCCTTGCCTCGGCTCCGCCTGCCTCTAAGACCGTCCTCACTCCCTGCCTCCAAGGAACCCCGGGGTTCCGCCCGCCCGGCTGCACCCCCCCTCTTTCCCGGCGTCTCCGCCCCCTGCCCCGCCCCCGGGCCGGCTCTCCGAGGAGGGGGAGCTGCTGTCGCCGCCGCCGCCGCTTCAGCTCCCCACTGCCGCTGCCGCTGCTGCCGCCTCCGCCGCCGCTCTGCTTGGTCCAGCCGCCCGGCCCGGTGCTCTGACTTCGCCGGACCAGGGCGCTCTGCGGAGATACCCATCCTCCTTCCCGGGGTCCGGGGCGCCTAGCCCGGCGTGGGGGGAAGCTCCGCTGGCGAGGGACAGGGAGGGAGGAGCCTGGAACCGGAGCCAGCGCCACCCGTCGCCGGATCAACAAGACAGGACAGGTTGAGGGGCGTCGGGGAAGGAAGAGGGGTGCTGTAGGCTGTCCCAGGGAAGACGAGAAGCCCTGTCGCAGAAAGCCCTGATGCACTCTGACTTGTAGGGGGCCTGTTCACAGTTGGGAACCGGTGATAACGTGGGTGCACTCCTCTTGGGGGGCTGATTGGATTGGAGGGCGTGGGATCTAAACAGCACCAGCTGTCCCCGAGGAAATTAAGGGGCAACCAGGGGAAAAAGAACAAAAAAAAACAAAAGATCGGATGCTCCTTATCTCGAGGTGACAGAAGCCCTCCAGACAAGCCCTAGGAAGGGCGGATTTGGAGGTGACTTCAAAAGGGGTGGAGGGTGACAAGGTGAGGAAAGGGGCACAGCAGCTGGAACCATGTACCACTAGAAATGGAGGTGACTTGGTGAAAAAAAGGTATGGCCCAGAGACAGGGTCTGGGAACCCCTAATCGCTGAATGGGGACAGCCTGGGTTTTCCCAGACAGTTTTGGGGGACTTCATTGAAAAAAGTGGGGGATCCTTTCCACTTAGAGGGTGGCAAAGACACCAAGGTTGAGTTCCTCCCTGACATTGGCAGTGCCCCAGCAGGGATGGGGTTGAGCTAATATATCAATGCTAATGACCGGTACCCTTTAGGTTACAAGAGTGGATTTGGGAGGAGTGCGGGTCCCCAAAATAGGGTAGAAAGGTGCCTGGGACTATTGGAACCACATCTTGCAAATTTTGAGGGTCTTGACTTTGGCCTAAGGGAAGTGGGGACAGGGACAGTGAAGAACAGGGTAGTTTCCAGTAGGGGACAAAAGTCGAGGGTGGGGTCAACAGATACACAGGGTGCTGGGGCCAGTAGAGCTAGCACTGGGCCCCAGGGTGGGAGCTGGCGGCTGGGGGTTGGGGGGTCTGGGGCTTATCCTCAGGTCCCGAGGGTGAGGCGGTGAGTTGGGACCCCAGAGTCGAGAGGATGCCCTGGTGAGCGGGCTTCTCTTGAGGAGCCCAGAGCGCTCCGGGCCCCTGCCAGTTTGGGGGTGTCTCCTCCCGGGGCGCCATGGCGGCTCTGGCCAGTAGCCTGATCCGGCAGAAGCGGGAGGTCCGCGAGCCCGGGGGCAGCCGGCCCGTGTCGGCGCAGCGGCGCGTGTGTCCCCGCGGCACCAAGTCCCTTTGCCAGAAGCAGCTCCTCATCCTGCTGTCCAAGGTGCGACTGTGCGGGGGGCGGCCCTCGCGGCCGGACCGCGGCCTTGGTGAGTGGCTGGAGCGGGGTCTCCCGGCCTGGGGTCTCTCCGCCCGGGAGGTTGAGGCCAGGGACTCCGAAGGATGGGGCCCGACTGAGGGGGGTTCCCCGAAAGTGGAAGGGGGTGGGCCAGGACCACAGAGTCTCTGCCAGACGATGCCTCAGTTTCCCTTCTCTTTTGCCCATAACCCGGAGTCTCCTTGCTGTCGAGGGCAAGGGGAAGGCTTGGGGGCTAGGTCTGGCGCTCCCAAGCCTCGCGGCTCCCGCTCGCCGCCTCCCCCCCGCCCCGCAACGCAGGAGTCCCCACCCCCACCGTCCACCGCCTACGTGCCGGCTCTCGCGATTCTTTCAATGCCAGGCGGAGGGGCCTGGGGGTTCCGGACGCCTGGGTCACCCCGAGGGTTTCTGCAGCTCTGGCAGCCCCGCCCCCGCCCCGGTTCTCCCGCTCCTCCACGCCTTGGCTCCGTTCCTGCTGGCCGAGCCTCCCTGGCTCGGCGCCAGCTCTCCCCCTGGTGTCCCTGCAACTACCTCGCCGGCCCGCCCCTCTGTGCGCCCTCCTCGGTGACCTGCGCCTCGAGAGGGGCGCCGGCCACCCCCCATTACCCTCTACGCGGTTCCGAAATTGATTCCCCCATGCTTGGGGGGACCCTCTGCCGCGAGGAACTCAGAACCTGTACGGGGTGAGAGACCCGCGCGGAGACTGGGGGGGGGTCGTACCACCTCCGAGGGGGTACGGGGAAGTCGGCCTAGAGCAAGCGACCGGGCGGGAGAGTGGCGAGGGTTGGCGCGTGGTCCCCGTCCAGGCACGACTGGCAGGAGTCCCTCTGGGCCCGCTCCCGCCTGCTCCCAGCTCCCCCAGGGGCAACCCCCTCGTGCCCTCCTCCCCCCGCCGCCGGCCCTCCGTAGTGGTACGGTCCGCAGCCCACCCTCTGTGGGACCCGGCCCCCACGTGACTCCGCCCGGCTGGCCAGCTCCCCGGCCCCCTTCCCCCATTTCCTAGGGTTTGGTACCGAATGTCCCCCACCTCAGGCGGGTTACCTGGCTGCAGGGGAGAGGCTGGGCCTCAGGGAGGGCCGGCCCCCGCGAGCCCGCGGACTGACAGACAGACAGACAGACAGATGGGTCAGTGTCAGACAGGCCGGCGCTGGGCCAAGGCAAGGCCCGCGCCAAGCGAGCGGCAGCCGCAGCAGCAGGTGCTGAGTCAGCGTCGGGCCCAGTCCCACCCCCACTCCTGAGGGGGCGCCCCTACCCTGTGGTCACCTCGCCACCGCCCCACAGTCACAAACACTGGCCCTTCTGCAGTCCTGCCTGCCTCCCTCCGTCCTCTGCCTTCTGATGGCTCCCCCCTTCCTCTTCCCTCATCTCCCCTCCCCCACTTCTGGTGGAGCTGTAGAGTAGGAATTAAGCCATTTAAATAAATTTCAATAAATTAAGCCAGAAAGCTGGGGGTTAGAGGAAGCAGAAGGGACCCACACCGGGTCTTCCTCCAGAGTCAGAGAGAGGTGGGAGAGATCCTGCTTGGAGGATCAGAGAGCTGGGGCCCTGGGACCCTCGACCTCCCCGTGCATTCTCCCCTCTTTCTTTCCTCCCATCCCGCCAAGTGGAGGAATGGTTCTGGGAACAGAGATGTCATTTTCGAAGATGAATGTCTCTCTCTCTCTCTCTCTCTTTCTCCCTCCAGAGCCTCAGCTCAAAGGCATCGTCACCAAACTGTTCTGCCGCCAAGGTTTCTACCTCCAGGCGAATCCTGATGGGAGCATTCAGGGGACCCCAGAGGACACCAGCTCTTTAAGTGAGAGGGGAGGCCAGCGGCTGGGTGGGAAGGGAGAACGCGGGGACAGGAGGGGAACCATCCTATTCCCACTTCCGGTGCCGTTGTTTTCTGTCTGGCTCTTTGGCCCCCAAGGGAAGCGGTGGAACTGGGCTGGGGGCGGGGGAGGTGGGCTGCGGGTCTGAGGCCCCCAGCACTGATGCCCCCCTCTCCCGACCCCCAGCCCACTTCAACCTGATCCCTGTGGGGCTCCGTGTGGTCACCATCCAGAGTGCCAAGCTGGGTCACTACATGGCCATGAACGCGGAGGGGCTGCTGTACAGCTCGGTGAGATGGCGAGGATGAGTGGCCTGGGGTTTGCCCCCCTATCTAGTTTCCTTTTATTCCAGCCCCCTGCCCCCCAAATCTAGGTGGCGACCAGACTCCCCCTCACCCTCCCTTTCTCCCAGTGTCTGCATGGAGTGAGAAGTGGGCCCTCCCAGCCCCAAATGTATGGATTCTATCCTGGCTCTTGGTCTTCCCAAGGCCCCTTTCTGTCCAGTGATACGTCTTTTTTTGTCTCTTTGTGGGCCTTTCTGGGTCTCTGTCTCCTCAGCCACATTTCACAGCTGAGTGTCGCTTTAAGGAATGCGTCTTCGAGAACTACTACGTTCTGTATGCCTCCGCGCTCTACCGCCAGCGCCGCTCTGGCCGGGCCTGGTACCTGGGCCTGGACAAGGAGGGCCGAGTCATGAAGGGAAATCGAGTCAAGAAAACCAAGGCAGCTGCCCACTTTGTGCCCAAGCTCCTGGAGGGTGAGTAGGGACTGCAGAAAAGCTGGGCCACACGGGAGGGTACTGGCCTTGATGTGGACATTGAGTGACATGCCAATCAGGGCCTGCAAGTATCCAGGAGGACACCTGTTATGCCAAGTCAAGCCAGGAAGGCTTTGGCCTTTGGGGGGTTGGGGAGCCCTCCTCCTGTGGGCTGGGGTTCCCAGAGGATGAGTGTTGGGGAAGGGCACCCTTTCAGAGCTCTGATTCCTTCTAGGTCTCTCCGGGCCTAATTCTCCTTCCTGCTCCTCTCTCTCCCCTTCACAGTGGCCATGTACCGGGAGCCTTCTCTCCACAGTGTCCCTGAGACCTCCCCTTCCAGTCCTCCTGCCCCCTGAAATGTAGTCCGTGGACTGGAGGCTCCCTGCCCTTGCACGGAGCCGGCCACTCTCACAGCCTGTCCCCTAGCCCTGCTCCCGGCCCTGCCCCAACCCCTGCCGCCATACTCATGCCCTGAGCAGCCAAGTCCCAGCGGGTGCTCTATCCTAAGGGAGCCGAGGGGCTGGCTGTGACTCCCCACCATCCCTGACCCCAGGCTTCCAGCTCCTGGGAGGAGTTCAGGAGGGGGATTCTGATAATGGTCCTGGGTGATCACTTCTTTCCTTCCACACAGCCCCTCAAAGCCTTTTCCCAAGAAGGCCCAAGGGGGGATCCAAAGCCGAGAGAACAGCACCCTGGGCTCAGTCAGTTCCTGGAGCCCTATGCCCTCTTCATTGCCACTGAGCCATAGATTTATAGGTCCATGAGAGCTCAGGATCAGTTTCCTTTTTGCCCGACTCCACCTCCTGCCTTGTTCTGGACGGGTTCTGGAGCACCGGGCACCCTGGCCAGGGCCCTTTTTGCACTAAGGCTCTGTGCTGGAATGCTGGCATGCTGCCAGGCTCTGCTCTGGATCCAGCAGGCTTCTGTCCTTGACCCAGATGGACCCCTGGTTTCCAGGTAGAGGGAGGCTAGATTTGAGCCCTGTCCAGCTGCTGGCCTTGGCCTGAACTAGGACCAGTCTCAGATCACCAGTTTTAACTTTCTTATCCCAAAGACACCCAATTCTAGAGCATGGGGTTCTAGATGCACATGGAGCCATACGTCCTTCTGAATCTCAGCTCTAGGACATAGACCACGATTCTCAGCCCTTCCCTCCAGCATGGAACTGGGTCCTATACAGCCATATTAGTGCTCATAGAGACCCACCCTCCTACCTTCTCTAGTAACGCCTATCACAGGTGAGCTCCGGAAAGAACCCAGCTCTGATTCACCAAGAACTTTGTTGATGAATCAAGAAACACTTCTGTTTTTTCCTAGACTTTCTTAAAATCCGATTCTTCCTATAGAACGCTAACCTTATTTTTACATGCCGTTTCCAGCTCGGGCAGCTCAGCTGGGGTCCTTCCAGGGAAACGGAGTCTGAGGAAGGGCAGAGGAGTTTGGGAAGGAATCTTTGCTCATAGCAGGGAAGCTGGGATGGCCAAGGGGCCAAAACCGTGGCATTATTTTGGCTGTGCCTGGGTTGGGGGCACGTGAACACTTAGCTACCTCAGCAGGAATTCCTTCCAGATCCCCTTTAAAGCTGAGGTCTCTAAGGTAATGAGTCTAGAATGAAAAGAACAAACAGGACACAGCGTTGCTCCCCAGTGCAGGACCCCAATTCAGCAATAAGTTCTGCCCCTCTCCCCTACAAGTCAGGCCAAGGACGGTGAGGGCCCCTTGGGCTCTGAGACCTCACATAACCCCGGAGCTTCTGACTTAATAGAACTTGCTTTACCTTACAGCTTATAACTTCAGCTAAGTTTTAGGTACCCAAAAAGGGCCTGACTAGATTTTTCTGAAAAGCGTGGAGAGCTAGGGGCAGGCCTGAAAAATATCAGGAGCCCACCAGTGAACTAGGGGACCCGGGGAGACCCTAAAGGGAGAGGCTCTATTTCTCGCTTGTTGCAAGAGGGGTACATACTCCCCTGGCCCGCACAGACCCCCGCTCAGGATCAACCCATCTCCTGGCTGCTCCCACAGGACAGGGTCTCCACTCCATGCTTTCTCAATTAAAGAAGATTTATACAACTTAAGTGTCGTCTGTCGTCTATGGGTGGCGGGCATTGGCAGTTGCTTGGGGCGGGACCAGGTCCCAGGGGCGGGGCGGGTGGGCTGGCGGCTGCCCCCCAACGACAGGTGCACATTCCTGGGCGTCTCGTCACTTCCCCTGCGCTGGCGAGCCGAGCGAACTCACTGAGCAACGCGGCCGGGCTATGACCTCAGAGGCGCTGCTGCTGCTGGTGCTGGGGGCGTTGGGGGCGCCGCTCGCCCCGGGTACGTCTGGGCCTCGGGGTCGGGCAGTGACGGGGCCAGGGGTCGTGACCGGGCACCGTAGCTTCACTTCGAGCTCTCCTCCTCCAGGCGTCCGCGGCACGGAAGCGGAGGGCCGGCTCCGCGAGAAGCTCTTCTCTGGCTATGACAGCTCGGTGCGGCCGGCGCGGGAGGTGGGGGACCGTGTCGGGGTCAGCATTGGCCTCACCCTGGCGCAACTCATCAACCTGGTGAGGGCGCACGCCCGGGCTGAGGTCCTGCCGGCGGGACCGGCCGGGGGAGTGGCTTTGGGCGGGGCGGGAGCGAGGGCCGTCTGGGGGCGGGGCGTGGGGCGAGGCCAGGCCGGGAGATGGACGGGCGGTTAGCGGAGATTGGGTCGAAATCCGACCCATGGACAAGCTGTGGGCGTGGCTGCTGGACGGGCCGCGGGTAGAGCGGGGTAGAGCGAGGAACCCTGAAGGGAAGCCGGGGCCGCGGGACTGGCAGGGGAGAGGGACTTGAGGCGGGCTCGCAGGCTGGGGCGGAGCTTGGCGTCGGATCGGCTGCGAAACAACAGCCGGCGGAGATTCAGCGCGGGGTGAGTTACGGGCTGGGGGTGGGGTCCGGGGCGAGGTCGGCGTGGGGCGGGGCGAGCGGGCTAGCAGCCGGATTAGCGGGCGCTGTAGACCGCCGGAAGTTTCTGAGGTAGAGGCGGGGCTCAAACCAACGCAGCATCTAGGGGGAGGAGCTTGGAGCCAAGAGAGGGGGACTCTGGAAAACGGGAGTTTCTAGATAGACATTGACCCGCCGAGCCCCTCCATTTCTTTTTGCTCACGTCACCTCTACCCTTTAAACTTTTCCCTTTTAGAACGAGAAGGATGAGGAGATGAGCACAAAGGTGTACTTAAACCTGGTATGCAGACCCCACGGGGTGGGAGAGGGCGTCCCGCTGCCTTCCCAATTTCCTCCCATGTCCGGCTCGGTAAGAGCAGTTCCTGCATCACGACCTCAGAAAACGGAACGGAAACGGAAGCTTCAGGAAACAATACCTATCTTTACTCTGGGAGCTGCATTCCACGCATTCCTTGCTCTAATTTTTTTAAAAACACAGTTTTGGGGCCTCTAATTTGATTTCTGATCCACTAAAGGGTCGCGAACTGCAGCTTGAAAACCACTGTTTCAGTGGCTAGCTAGTGCAATCTCCTCATTTTTACAGACCAAAAATTTGGGGCCCAGGGCGAGGGAAGGGGAAATTAGTTGATGGGGTCCCAGCGAGTAACGGTGCAGTCGGAACCAGAACCCCGACTTCCTAAACCATAGCCCAGGCCTGAGGGCTCCCCTTCCCTGCCCTCCCTCCCCGGCTTCCTGCGGACATCCCACGTCCCCTCCCGGGCTCCAGCCCCCGACAGCCCCTCAGACTCTGTTACCACAGGAGTGGACTGACTACAGGCTGAGCTGGGACCCCGCGCAGCACGAGGGCATCGATTCACTCCGCATCACGGCTGAATCCGTGTGGCTTCCGGACATTGTGCTCCTGAACAAGTAGGCTCTTCCCCAAGACCGGGAGGTGGGCGGGGTCTCTGGGGGCGGGGTCTCTGGGGGCGGGGTCTCCTGAGGGCGGGGTCTGATTCCCGCTGAGAAGGTTCCGCCCCCGCAGCAACGACGGGAATTTTGACGTTGCCCTGGACTTGAACGTCGTGGTGTCTTCCAATGGTTCCGTGCGCTGGCAGCCTCCAGGCCTCTACCGTAGCAGCTGCAGCATCCAGGTGCCCGGGCTTCCCCTGGGAACCCTGCTTCCCCAGCGACTACCGTCCCTCCTCCATCATCCCCCATAACCCTCCTGTCGCGCCCATCCTCCTGATTTGGTGTGGTTTCACCTTCTCTGCCCACGATCGCTGACCTGCAGTGTTTCTCAGTGACCTCGCTTCCGTTGCCCATAGCCTCCCTTAATAATCTTCCAATTCATCTGTGGCCCTATGTCCCTGTGACCTGCCTAATGACCTCCCAAGGCCCCCAGCAGCGAACAGCTCTCTGGCAGCTGCGGTGACTCCCTGTTCCATCCAGGTCACCTACTTCCCGTTCGACTGGCAGAACTGCACCATGGTGTTCAGCTCCTACAGCTATGACAGCTCAGAGGTCAGCCTGCGGACCGGCTTGGGTCCCGACAAGCAGGAGCGGCAGGAAGTGCACATTCATGAGGGGACCTTCATTGGTGAGTGGGCATGGTTCCCCCACCCATGGGCTCTATGATTTCTAGTTTCTAAGAGGCTGATAAATACCCTCCTTCAGCAATGCCCGCTACGACCCTATGGGGTTGGCAAAATAAGTGGGATTCTCTACATTTCGCAGATAAGGAAGTGGAGACTCGTTCAAGTTCATCAGAGACGGGCTGCCCCGCCCAGTGTCCACAGCTAGTGTCTTATCCCATCAGCCACTCCCAGGTTTAGGATGTGGCAGAGCAAGCCATATCTGGCGACAATAAGGACAGGTCCCACATCTGTGTCCCTTTCTTCTCTCCCCTCTCTTTCCTCCCAGAGAATGGCCAATGGGAAATTATCCACAAGCCTTCTCGGCTAATCCAGCCTCCCACAGATCCTAGGGGAGGCGGGGAAGGACAGCGTGAAGAAGTCACCTTCTACCTCATCATTCGCCGGAAGCCTCTCTTCTACCTGGTCAACGTCATTGCCCCATGCATCCTCATCACTCTTCTGGCCATCTTCGTCTTCTACCTGCCACCAGATGCAGGTAAGGGAGGAAGAGCCCACAACCCACCTTCTTACCAATTGCTCAGCTTCCCGTCCACCCAAAATCCAGGCAAGGTTTTTGGACCAGCCCAAGCCATCATGGATTGTGCTGCATCAATCTTGCTCAGGTTTTCCCTTCAGCCAGAGGCTTTTCCTGGATCCAGGTTTTCCCTCCAACCTCAGGCTGGGGGTGCGGTGCGGTGGGGGGCTCTGCAGCCCAGGTCTCTCCATCTAGGAACTCCTGAACCCTTTTCTGCAACCCAGGTCTGTCGATCTAGGAACTCCATAACCCTTTCCTCCAGAATCCTAAAATCCCATCCTTGGAACCGACCAATTCCTGGGGTTACACAGCACTCCCTTTCACTTTCCCCAGTCCTGGTATCCACCTCCCACACCCCCCTGTTATTTTTCAGACACCTACTAGCCCTTTGGGGATTCCTTTAGAAATAACAGCAACATATCTGTAGGAGAAAGCATAATGTAGTTACAGAGTAACCTTGGGCAAATTCCTTCCTATTCGTCCCCACCTAATAGGATTATTTTGAGGATTAATTGAGTTAATAGAAGTAAATTCTATGTAAGTGTTGGTATTATTTTTACTATTTTTGAGCACTTGCTATAAGTAGTACAATGAACATGTTACATATAACTTAATTCCTTTTTTTTTTAATTTATTTTATAAGGGGGGAGGGGCAGAGAGAGAGAATCTCAAGTAGACTCTGGGCTCAGCACAGAGCCAGACATGGGTCTCGATCTCATGACCCAAAGACCACGACCCCCCAGAAATCAAGAGTCAGTCCCTTAACCGACTGCATCAGCCAGGCACTCCTACATTAACTCAATTCCAATCTTTAGAACAACTTTGTGAAGTGAGTGCTGAATTGTCTTCCCCTTTTACAGAGGAGGTCAGAGAAGCTGAGAGAGTTTAAGTCATTTGCCCCAGTTTCAGCTAGAGTCAGAGACAGGTAGCGTCTCGATTCCTTGGTGCCGGTCTGATTTCCAGACTGGAATCCTTAACTCTGTCATTTAAAGTATGCTTTCCTTCTCTCTGGCATTGAGTTCTCTGTCTAGGGAAGGAAAGTGATCCAGCTCTAGAACGATCTTCCAAATGTAACTTCTCTATTTTTTTTTTTTCCCCAAATGTAACTTCTACTTCCTCCCAGAGCAGGGCAAACCTTGGAACCCAGTATTATAGGACTTAAGTAGAGTAGACCATAAAAGTTTCTTTTTTTTTTTGAAGATTTTATTTATTTGACAGACCGAGATCACAAGTAAGCAGAGAGGCAGGCAGAGAGAGAGAGGGAAGCAGGCTCCCTGCTGAGCAGAGAGCCCGATGTGGGACTGGATTCCAGGACCCTGAGATCATGACCTGAGCCAAAGGCAGCGGCTTAACCCACTGAGCCACCCAGGCGCCCCTGACCATAAAAGTTTTTATTTCAATACCTTCCTTGAAGTTTGAGGTACCTGTTTTATGTCCCAGGAATAATCAGCCACCTGGCATCTCCATATATACTTTGTTTCATTTTTAGATCCTTCAAATTGCTATTTAGGTGCTAAAATGGGCTACAGGGGTTGGTCTGTTCATTCATGCAATGGTATTTGTTTAGTATCTGTCATGTGCTAGGCACTGGGGCTCCATCAGTGAATAAAAGAGACAAAACTCCTTGCCCTTGTGGAGTTTACATTCTAGTGGGGAGACTGTCAATAAAGCAAATACATCTATTAGATAGTATATTAGAGGAAGACGGGTCCTAAGGAGGAACATAAAGTAGGACGAGTGGTAGAGAGGATGAGACTGGACGTTGGGGTTATAATTTAAAATAGAACAGGGGGCACCTGGGTGGCCTAGTTGGTTCAGTGCTTGATTCTTGATTTCTCCTTAGATCATACCTCAGGGTGTGAGATCAGCCCCAAGACAGGCTCCATGCTGGGTGTGGAGCCTGCTTAAGATTGTCTCTCTCTTGGGCGCCTGCGTGGCTCAGTTGGTTAAATGACTGCCTTGGGCTCAGGTCATGATCTTGGAGTCCCACATTGAGTCCTGCATCGGGGTCCCAGCTCCATGGGGAGTCTGCTTCTCCCTCTGACCTTCTCAGCTCTCATGCTCTCTCTCTCACTCTCTCTCTCAAATAAATAAATAAAATCTTAAAAAAAAAAAAAAAAGTTGATTCTCTCCCTCTTCCTCTCTAAAAAAATAAATAAATAAAAATAAAATAGAACGGTCAGGGGCCCCTGGCTGGCTCAGTCGGTACCGTACATGACTCCTGATCTCGGGGCTATGAGTTCAAGCCCTGCGCTGAGTGTAGAGATTACTTAAAATTTTAAGAAAAAAGTAGAATGGCCAGCGAATGCCTCAAATAAAAAGGAAATATTTGACCAATATTTGAAGGAAGAGTTGAAGGGGATGAGAGAATGACCCTGGCAGATAGATAACTGAAGGAAGATGTACCAAGTGCAATTAACAATGAATGCAAAGGCCCAGAAGTGGGAGTGAGTCTTGCATATTCAAGAGTGAGCCAGGATAACTGAATGAAGGAAGCCGGGAGAAAAACAGTAGGAGATAAAGCCAAAGAGATAATGGGAAGAAGGCCTCGTCAAACAGTCAAACACAGCCAAACACTCCGAGGTCTGGCTTTGATGCTCAGGAAGATGCAAGCCACAGGAAGGTTTGGAGAAGAGAAGTGACACGATCTGATTTACTTTTTAACAAGCTCAATCTGGCTGCTCTGTTGAGAACAGTCAGCAGGGGGAAGTAGGATGAAGCGAAGAGACCTTTATAAAAACTCAGATCTGAGTTCGTAGTGTTTTGTAGGGATATATTTTGAAGGTGGAGCCAGTAGGGTTTGCTGTGGATTGGATAAGGGATAAGAAAGAGTGAAGAGAGTTGAGAATGACTGACAGGATTTTGGCCTGCCCCAGGATTGGTCATTCATGAAATGGGGAACCTGTGGGAGGGGCTGGTGATCAGGGGATTCGGTTTGGGACAGGTTTAAGATGTCTGTTGGGCATTTAAGATATCTACTGGACATCCACCTGCTAACATTCAGTTAGCAGGTGGCTATAAATCCGGGGTTTAGAAGAGTAAGTCCGGGCTGGAGGTATAATTGTAGGAGTCATCTGCGTGCACTTGGCCCTTCCCAAAGCCTGTGCTTGTGTGGGCTGGAAAACGGTCACTGATTAGGCCATGGAAATTGCCTTCTGGCAAAGCCTGACCCTTCTGCCTTCCTCTCTGCCCCATAAGGAGAGAAGATGGGGCTCTCGATCTTTGCCCTGCTGACCCTTACCGTGTTCCTGTTGCTGCTGGCAGACAAAGTTCCTGAGACCTCCCTATCTGTCCCCATCATTATCAAGTACCTCATGTTTACCATGGTCCTCGTCACTTTCTCCGTCATCCTCAGCGTCGTCGTCCTCAACCTGCATCATCGCTCACCGCACACCCACCAAATGCCCGCTTGGGTCCGCCATGTAAGATGGACCTCGGTGTTAACCCTCGGTGCTAGCGTTCGCTGTTCTGTGCCCGTATCGCCACTGCAGCCCTCCTACCGCCTTCAACCTCCCCTTTCTCAGACCCGAGGGAGAACTACAGCTCCTGGGGTGGAGCGTCTTGGTGCCGAGGCCTGTTGGGTGTTGAAACGTTGCGCAGTCGACACTGTCATGTCCTAGATCCTATCTTTCCTTTGACAGCACTGCCCATCCTGGGTTCCAGGGACACATTGCCAGGGTCTGCAACCCACTTCGGAGCTCTTGAGGCTGCGTGGCTCGGCGGGACGCGAGCACGCAGGCGCGGGGGTGGGCCGGTGGATGGGGTTGGCGGGCGGCTTCCCCTCGGATCTGAAACCAGGAGCGCGCCCTCCCCCCCGCCAACTCGCCTTTCTACTCTGCAGATCTTCATCCACAAACTCCCTCTGTACCTGGGTCTGAAGAGGCCCAAACCCGAGAGAGACCTCATGCCGGAGCCACCTCCTGTGGCCCTCCGGGATTATCCAGGAAGTGGCTGGGGTCGGGGAACAGATGAATATTTCATCCGGAAGCCACCGAACGATTTTCTCTTCCCCAAACCCAACAGGTAGCACCTACTCCCCGTCGCCTACAAGTAAGAGAGAGCGGGAACTACAATTCCCAGAAGACTATGCAGAGGCAGGCAGCTTGAGGTCCCGGAAGATGCCCTTGAGGATCATGGGAATTGTAGTACCCCGTTCCACCGCCTACTTTGCGGAAAGGCGGAAACTAAAGCGTAGAAAGATGGGAGGAATTGCGGAAGGCTGGAGAGGCCGCCGCTGGCGGGGAGAGCCTAAAGGGCCTTCTCACGGTTTGAAAACTGACAAGAGTGTTGGAGGAGGGAGTCGGGACGGAGCCTAGAGCGTGGCCCAACTGTCCCGCCTCTTCCAGGTTCCAGCCTGAGCTGTCTGCCCCGGACCTGCGGCGACTTATCGACGGTCCGACTCGGACTGTGGGCCTGCCTCCCGAGCTACGGGAGGTCGTTTCCTCGATCGGCTACATCGCCCGGCAGCTGCAGGAACAGGAGGACCACGACGCGGTAAGTCCAATGACGGTGGAGCAGGGCAGGGCCTGGGTGGCCTTGGCTCCACCCGCAGACCGCGGCTCCGCCCCCAGCACCCGCTTTTGCTTCTGATTGGAAGCTTGCCTCCCTTAGTCCCGCCCCCCCTGTGTTCCGACTGGCTCCTCGCCCCATCCGTCGCCCGCAGTTTCGTTTTCCTCCGTCTCGCGGCCCGCCCCTGTCTTTGAGCGGTAGGACAAGGGCAAGGGTATAGGGCAGAACTTCCCTGGGGGTCTGGAGCTCAGGCACAGTTTACTCTGCCTACCCCCAGCTGAAGGAAGACTGGCAGTTTGTGGCCATGGTAGTGGATCGCCTTTTCCTGTGGACCTTCATCATCTTCACGACCGTTGGGACCCTCGTCATCTTCCTGGACGCCTCGTACCACTTGCCCCCCCGCCGACCCCTTTCCTTGAGGACAGAGGGCCAAGACGAGAGTCCTCGGCCAGCTGAGCTGAGAGTGGGCAGTACTCCTAAGGCCTGTCCCTTTCTCCCTCTCGACTCCACTAGGAACCCAGGCTTCGCACATCATTGCCTCTCTGGGGAGAGCGCCCAAGGGGGACGGGGCCGAATGAAGCCTTGGGCCCCAACAGAAATGCACTATCAGTTTATTTATTCTTTGGTTTCTTGTAGAAGTTTCTTTGGATATCAACGCTAGGTTGTCGGGAAAATGGAACAAAGAATGAGAAGTAGATTGTACGCTCTAGGAGGGCAGGGACTGTGTCTTATTCGCTGTAATATCTCCAGCACCTGGCACAGGGCCTGACCTATGGGATAGTAGGTGCTTCACAGTCGTTGAGTGATTAAGGATTTTTTCTTTCCTGGAAGGAAATACACCAGTTATTATCAGTGCTTATGTTTGCATGTTGAGACTTGTGGTCATTCTCTTTGTTTTTACTTTTCCGTAATTTATTGTTTTGTAATAAGTGAAAGGATGCATTTGAGGGGAGAAAAGAGCACTTTAAAAACCTTCATTCAGGTTCCAGCTTCGGTGCTCAAACTTTAGATAGTTATTGAACCGCTCTGGGCCTGAGATTCCAGGACTGTAAAATGGAGCTAAGAATAGTATCTCTCCCCAAGTCTGAGGGTCATATGAGATGGGAGCAAAATTTCTACCCAGTACACATCAGAGGTTGCAAACTGGTGTGTTTGTGTGACCTGTGTTGTTGACCTGCACAGTTTTTAGTGTGAGTTACTACTTTAAAAGTTCGGATATTGCACAGAGAAATTTGTATTTCTGGCTTCTCTCGGGGAAAAAAAAAAAAATTAAAACTGTGGTAACACCAGACCCGATTCCCCTGTTGGCAGCAATCTGCTAGGGCCGTTTGAGTGTGGCTGCCCACCCTGGTAAGGTATTTGTTCCAGAATTCCTCAAACCAGCCCCCCACCCCCACCCTGCCCTGCCCAGTGGACCAGCTTGGCTTGTTTTACCTGCCCATCCCTCCATAACATTAGACAAAATTAAGGGGAGGGGCGTGGTGATAAGCAGTTGAAGACAACGAAAGGCCAGGAGTAGAAAAAGAAAAGGTGGTCATATCTCACGACCATCCCACATTTTATGCCCACTGCTTTTCGATTTGGAGAATGAGTGGTGCTAGGTGTAAGGCGCGCCGGACAGTAGGATCCTGTGCCCAGCAGGCTGTGCGAACTGGGCTGAGTTAATGTGTCTGCCTGGAGGTCAGACCAAAGTCAGCTCGAGCACTAGCTACTGCAGCCATTACAGGAAGGTGCGCAGGGTCCCCAAGCCCTCAGCCTCCTCGGCGGCTGGAGGCTGTGCTCTCAGGGATCATCCAGCCAGCTCCCAAGGGGGGACAAGGGAAGCACATCTCCGTCCAGCCTGCCGCCAGTCCCGCAAAGAACTGCACTTGGCATTTCACTGCGGAGCACAGTTTGTCTGTCTTGTTGGTTTATTGGCCTAGAGAATTGGACACACACACAGATGCGGAGATAAATATTGGTCAGTTTCTCTAAATCTGGGTCCTCACTACATATAGAGCTACAGTCTGTAGGATTCTAAACCTTGCGTGCTGTGGCACAGAGCCAGTGGCCTTTCCACTCCACCATCACCCTTCTCCCCAGGGAACACCGGGAAAGAGGGCACAAACTGACAAGACTTGAATCATTTTCCAAAGACGAAATTGCAAAATCCCAAATTTCCAACGTCTGAAATTCACAATATTAAGTTCCCCAGCTCGGATACACGTATTTTGATCTCCAGTTTGCCACAACCTCATTTGTTGCCCAGAACCACCAAATTCTGGAAGCTAGTTTCCTAAATCATATTTGCCAAAAAAATAAATGTCTGCAATCTCAGTTCTCCCAAAAATGTCCATGGTTTTGGAATTTTGACCTGTTCTGAAACGCAAATCCCCCGGTCCATCCTCAACTCCTTCCGTTCCTGTGCCTTTCTGCCTCAGAGGAGTGCAGGTTAAGGATAGAGGGGAGCTGTCATCGCGTCTGCCCCCTGCCTCCAAGGCTTCTGTCTCTCTTGTGGTTCCGCTGTGTGTGTGCGTGTGTGTATATATATATATATAAAATTTGTGTGTAGATATATATATATATATGTATTCTTTATTATGTTTTTTTCGCAGTTTTTCTAAAGTGCCAGAAACGAGATTTGTGGGAACTTTTTAGTGATTTTTTTTTTTTTGCATTTTCCCGTTTTAAGCATTTTACCCCCTTAAAAATTGGAACTTGGTACATTCAGTAGGAAACTCCACTCGGACTGTGGCCAAGACCAGGAAAAGTGCAAAGAGACAGAGGAGGAGAGAAGGAATGACACTCCTCCACGGTTAACATTCAGGAGCCTGTCAAAAACCTCCCCCTTCCTATAGACTCGGAGGGTAAGACGAGGCAGGAGGATTCTCCTGGTCCTTCCCTCAAGCCCACCTCCCTCCAAAAACCATGATCTTGCCCTTTTAGCCGAGAAAGAGGGCAGCCATCTTGGCCCCGGAAAACAGTAGCTAGGATAAAGCTCCCATCTAAATGGTGGCAGCCTTTCCCCTTTTTAAACTGCACTCCTCTAATTCCCATTTACCAGATTTGCTCCCCCAAACTGGCTCTCCCCTTGTGAGCTGTTTTTTTTTTGGGGGGGGGGGGGGGTTGGGAAACGTTCATCCAATCACAGAGTGGGGATGCCCGGTCGTCAAAGAGAATTAGGAGCAAACATTTCTTCAACTCCCCTGCTGGAAGGAAACATATGGACCCCTGACCAGGGTTAACTAGTGCAAATTAGGGATTAGGGACCGTTTAAGGTCCCTGCACCCCATCCCTAGGCTGGGATCTTTGGGTGTGGGGAACTGAGTCAAAGATGGGGTGTAAGGTGCTATTCTGGAGGAAAAGTTGGTGGGGATACCCCAAAGCCCACCAAGGGAGTAGGATGGTTCCCCAAAAACCACCTGGAGTGAATGGTGAGGAAACGACACTGGGGAAGATGGAGGTAAAGGTAAGGATGGGAGGTCATGTGCAAATCTTGGGCTTAGCCACCCATCCAACCCCCATCACTTTTCTGGCTATTTGGTCTAGTCTGGGAGAAACCATCAGGAAGCAAAAACAAAAAAAAAAAAAAAAAGGGAGAAAGTAGATTCCCTTCCCCATCCCATATGGAGCTCCTCCCCCGTGACCCCCAAATCTGATTTAGCCCAGAAGAGGCCATAGGTAGAGGCAGGAAGAGGTGCGATCTGCTCACCTCTTTGCCTTGGAAGAATCTGGGGCTCACTGGATTTGGGGGTCAAGACAGGGCCAAGATTCGTGCTGCCCTGGGCTGGGAAAGTGCTCAGCCGTGAAACAGAAGGGTAGCCCTCCCGGCAACACCTCCTTGACCTGAATCGGAAGAGGCCATCTCCAGAGTAGGAGAGTGAGGAGCAATACGGAAGACCCAAAGGCATGGGAGCCCAGGAAGGCATGGCATCGTCACGTGAAGGAGACAGGGATGCAGAAACCCACCCCTGGGGAGAATGGAACTAGAAGCCATGCTCCCAGATGGGCGGGGGTCAGGTATCACAATGGTCTGGTCCAGGCCCTGGGCCACGAAGAATGGAATGTGCTAGGAAGCATCTAGGCAGGGGCTTAGAGAAAGCTTCAGAATGAGGGGAGGTCACTAGGTGAGAGAGATGGTTTCCCCCCCGGGTTTACGAATCAGGAGGGTGGGTTAGACATTCAGAGCTGGTGGGGGCCGTGAGTAGAGATTCATGTAAGTATATTGCTCAGTTGCCCCGAGGGCTGGAGAAAGGATGGGAGCTGGCCCTGCCCCTCACAGAGGCCATTCCCTGGAGGAGAACTGAGAGGGGAACCACCCAAGATCCCTTCCCAGGAGATGGGAAAACTACAATCTCACACAAAGCAGCCTGACCCCTGAGCTCCAGGGGCCCCCAAGTCCCTGCACAAGAGTGTGGAGGGGCTCCCAAGGGGCAGGGAAGCCAGGGAGCTGGTAGTGGCAGGGGGTTCAGGGAGGGTGACATCTGGTGAAAGGGGGGAGGTGGGCCCAGAGCTCACCCCACATCTCCCTTCTGGGTTCTCTCAAGCCCTGCCCTTTCCCCTTCTCCCTTAGGGGGGACCGGTGGGGGAAGAGTCGGGGGAGGTGGGGTCGGGGGAGTAGGGGGCGCGGCTTGAGGATTGACTGCGTAGCCAAAGACCCCCGGAAGGAAGGGAAGGGCCCCCCCACCCTTCTCATCAGGTAGGACCATGTTAAGAGCAACCGGGAGAGCAGCCAGGTTGCTGAAGTTGTAAGGGTAGGCGGCAAGGAGCTGGGGGCCATAGACGAGCGGGTAGGGTTCTGGGTAGAAGGTGACTTTGGCAGCCCCCATCCCCTCCACGCGGTCCCCCTCCCCAGCGCCCACCGGCCCCTCGCTGCCAGCTTTGCCCCTCCCGCCGCCAGGTTCCCTGCCGCTCCCGATCAGAGCCAGTGGAAATTCCTGCACCGGCGGATAGGCATAGGTGCCCCCTCCTGCCACCAGCGGGGGCTCCTCACCCCCCGAGATGACAGGGTCCTGCAGAGAGGCGGCCTCAGGCGCTCCCTCCGCGGCAGCCGCGGCGCTCCCGCCCCCCGCCTCCCCGCTGGACGAGGACACCTGCATCTCTTGGGGGGCCTCCTCCTTGACATCCGCGGCTCTGGCGCCAGCGCTGCCCTTGGAGTAGGCGATGACGGGCGTCGGGGTGCCTCCGGGCCGCTCGGCCGCGTGCCTCTGCCCGTGGCGGCTCAGGGCGGCCGCCGTCTTGCACACCTTGGCGCAGTGCGGACAGGCGAAGCGGCTGGAGGGCCTGCGGCCGCCGCGGACCCCGTGCGCGCTGCCGCCGTGCGCCTCCTGGTGCTTGCGCAGCTTCCGCACCGTGGCGAAGGTCTGGGCGCAGTCCCCGCAGCGGTGCCTCCGCTCGGCCCGGGCGCGCCCCGCGGGGCCCTCGGCGGCCTGCGCGTCCTCCCAGCTCCTGCGCTCCGGCTTCTGCCTCCAGCGCGGCGGCCGGCGGCCTCGGGGCAGCACGCCGCCCCCGCCGCTGCCCGCGCTCGCCGCCCCGGCCTTGCGCTTGGGCTTGTAGGAGTAGTAGGGCCGCCAGAGCTGGTCCTCCCCGCCGGCCCGCGATTCCTCTTCGTCGTCGTCCTCGTCGTCGTCCTCGTCGTCGTCCTCGTCGTCGTCGTCGTCCTCGCTCTCTTCCACCTCCTCCCCGCTCAGCTCCCCGGGGCGCAGGTCAGTCTCTGAGATGCGGCGCTTGACAATGGCCTCCTCGCCGATGCGCACAGTGATCTGACACAGTGGAGGTGCGGCCTGGAGCTGAGAGGGGCCCCGGCCAGGCCCCGCAGGGGGACCCCCACCCCCGCCAATCCCGCCGGCTGGCTTGGCCGTGTAGGTCAGAGTCCTTCCAGCCCGTGGGTTGCG